GGATTTCACTACTAACCACTATATATCTTTACTTGTAATATTTGTGACCTAAAGTAATATCGAAGCAATCCATACAAGATGTATATATGCCATTATAAGAGACTGATCAATTTTACAATCTTAAACGTCAGTGGGAAAATTCAAAGAACCAATACAAAAATGAGTTATTGAATACAATTATTTTAAAAGTTTATGTATAATTACTACATAAACAACGCACCTAGAATTTTAAAAGACACTTTAAATAACGAATATAACTGGATTAAGCACATAAATTACAACTAAGATTACATCATGACTGAAATCCGTTGTTGAACGTACAATGTTCGTTTGTTTGTTTGTTTTTTTAATATAAAACTATGTGTTGTCAAATAGTTTATCTGAAACAGTATTTTTCGGATCGATAATATTTTATGTCAGGAACAATGTTGATTGTGAATATTATTGTGAAAATAAATAATGAATAAAATAATGCTGAATTGAATTTACTATTATCAAAAGTATGTAGGTCATATGGTTATGGACTAGTAGTAACAAGGTTTCACCAATTTTTTTTTTGAAATTTCAATGTTTCATCATAGAGTTTTGTGAATAAAATGTCTCTTGACTAAAAATATTAGGTATTATTGAAAGTCTAAAATTACTGGACAACTACTTTGTTCTAGTATGACATTCATCAGTAGTTAGATGGTGGTTGGAGGTAGTCGACAGGAAATCCTGGACCTGGGTTTCATGCTACTTGGCACTCGTCAGCAAGGTGTACCTGTAATCTTGAGGGAACTGGTGCTCCCTGGTGGATTTGATCTCGTGTCACTGCGACATGATCGATAGCATTCGATATGCACTAATAAGGATTAGACACGCATGACATTGATCGCCACCCAGTGATCAATCAATTGTGATTACATCTTAGTCCTACAGGAGGTCGGTCGCGGCTCGGATAGCTCAGTGGTAACGTCTCTGACTATGAAGCTGGGTGTCACGAGACCGAATTTGTCAGGGAGCACCAGATCCCTCAAGGCTGCAGGTGCACATTGTTGACGAGTGTCAAGTAGCACGAATCCCGGGTCAAGGGTTTCCTGTCGACTACCTCCAACCATCATCTAATCTCAATATATAGTGCCCGCAGTGTCGAGTCACCTAGACTGGTGGCCGCATTGCAACATGATCGATAGCATTCGATCTCCACTAAAAAGGACTAGACACGCATGACATTGATCGCCACCCAGTGATCAATTAATTGTGATTAACCAGTAGTGTACATCTGTAGCCTCTCAACCAGGAATCGAACCTAGGACTTTTGATCTTTCTTGTAAACACTAATTCATCACTAAATGGTGTACATATTTAATTTTAATCAATCCATTGTGATGCCTGACTATTTTCCATTGTCTTTGGTGGGTACGTTCCTCATACCGGAAATGACTGAACACTATTGGTCCATGCTTCTTACTATAAATCTGGAAATTTCTTCTCAAAACCAGTTATCAGTGAGCACATGATAATTATTAGTATAGGAATTGTAAAGATTGTTGAATGTTACTGACATCACAAACAATGGCCACAACTTCTATACTGATAAAAATAGTAGTGTAGAATAAATCCTAATATGTTTTTTTTATTTATACTAAAGATATAAACTTTTATACAGTTCATTTTTACACAAGCGAATTACTATCTGGACTCAGTTGTTAAGTGGATAACACGTTGGAGTTTGAAGTGTTTGGCACTGGGCTTGAGTCCCGGAACGATGTGGATATATCCAGCTGACGAGTAACATAATGAAAACGTGTCCTTTTTTTAATCAAATTCGTAACGAACGTAATTATGTATTCTTCCTTGTCATAGAAAATGCGGATAAAAGTTCCTAAAATGTTATCATTTAGCTCATAACCAAATCTTTTGAATATATTTCCTAATTTACTAGATAATACGTCTCCAACATTTTGTTCAATTTATCATTTAACATTCTTTTAAATAAAAATAGGTTTTTATGAAGTTTCGAGTTGAATAAGGAAATGTAGATTTCACTGCTAACCATGTTCCATCTACACTACGTGTAAACTTATGCCATAGTGACTATATCAAGGCAATCCTCATAGGATTTACGTGTTCCAACCGAGATCAATCAAATTTCAGTCAAAATATCAGCGACTGGACAATTCAAAACATCACAAATTAAAATAATATCAACGTTAAGTTAATTAGTAATTTCCTAATAAATACACTGCAGTAAGCGGTTACTATTTGGATCCTGTTCTCAGCATAGGACTTCTCTATTATTCTGAAAGATAGTTTTCCGAAACCCACTTCTGTGACTGAACGTCAAGTTCGTTAACTATTTAGTCATAATCTCAACTATGTAACACTTATTACAATTGTACCTCAACCTATAATGGACATTTGGGATTCAATGTTTTGTAACAACTCTAAATAAGTGGACCACTGAAAATTATTGAAAAAATGAAAATATTTCTCAGAAATCCAACCAAGAATTAACAAACCATACTAGGCTCAAGGATTCTTGTCATAGGTGTCCTCGAAGCGTTGCCCGTGGTCCGTGGAAAGACCAAGTCAAAAATGTTGAGGTTAAGCATAGGACATTTGACAAAGATGGCAAATCAGTTGATAAGGTTGTAAATCTTCAATAATTGTAGCAGTCCAAATATATTTTATATATGCCTAACTGATGCCTACCACGATATTACATAAGTAGTTTGGAAAGAAACTAGGGGCAGCCGAAACAAGACGTGACGTCAGTCCATGAAGTCTTTAACTGTTATTCTAAACCATATGGATAAAACAGACATTGTGGAAATTATCAAACTGCATCGCGAAGAAAGCGCTAACTTGGAATCCTGAAGGGAAGAGGTAAAGTGGAATACCAAGGAACATATTGCGCCTGGAATTGGAAGCAGGCATCAAAAAGATGAATAGCAACTGGAGACAACTTGAAAGCATTACCCAGGGCAGAGCTAGATGATGACCGCCAGTGGGCAGCCTATGCTCCTGCATGTGGAGTAACAGGCATAAGTAAATAAATAAGTAATTATACTAGACTCAATTACTTTTGTTTAAGCAAAAACCTTATCAATAATTGTCAGGACCTTTTTCATTATGACTGAAGTTATATTGAAAAAAGAAACATAATAAGCAAAACAAATCTATCGGAAAATAATCGATATCCCCATGTAATTTGGATTTTTTAGAAAAACTGTTCATATCATAGTTACACTACCTTAGAGATTAAAAAATACCAAAGTATACCGCTTAAAAACGACAGTCAGCGAAGATAAATATGTTTCATGTGGTATAAAATCACTAATGACATTTACAAAAGTATTTATTTCATAAAATAAAACCTATACATATTTGTTTTAAGTTGTGGCCTTCTGTTCTTTTAGTATATAACGCAATGAAACTTCCAATTAGATAACAGTGGCTTATCGACCGGACCAATGACGCACAAATCGGTACGAGCAATGTAGAGTCCTTATCGGTCCTTTTTCCTCCTAGCCCTGCCCATTAAGTCCAGAACACCAATCTCAGTCCCTGCGACATGAATTATGTATTTCAAATATACTGGGTTTATATACAAACCAAACAGACCACATAGCACCATAAAATAGAAAATAACATATGTACAAGACTTAGCGGCTGTGAATATGGGAGGTTGTAATTAATAGACTGGGCATAACTCAATAATTGTAAATCGTTTAACGATAGTTTATGGGTCAAAGTAAGGCTTGTAATAAGAGGAGTATAGGTAAACATAATCTAGCTACTGAATAGTTATACATTAAGAATATACGTATAATATTTGTCCATAAATACTTCTCTAAAGTTACCATTCATAATGGTCGCCAGGATATAAAAAAATTAAAGAATTATCCTTATGTGATTCATCACAAAATAATTTTGTTTTATAATTTTTAAGGATAAACGTTTAGTAGTTATTTCATGTAGTCAGTCTAACTGTTAAGTGACTCCATTAAATAAACGTCATATAATAAATAGTAATCGATTTGTACCGAAATAAAGTTCAACTTAATCTATGTACAAATTAATAAAATACATGATAGGAATCTGAAAATACAATACAATACAACCCTACAACATTCAATGTTTGGATACGTTCAGTAAAATACTTGAATAATACAATACAATAGTTGAAATCAAGAGTCAATTTAAGCTAGATCACCATTGAAAACTTAGAAACACTAGACGGCCGTTTCGTCCTAATATGGAGCTTCCTAGCGATGCAGATCCACGATCCTACACGCGGGACTCAAACCCAGGACCTTGAGTCTCGTGCGTGAACACATAACCTGTAAACCACTAAGTTGGCATTTAACAGTGTTACTGTCGAATTTCAATCAATCGATGATCATACGCAACCTTTCATCTATTGTTTGAGAAGGATTAATATCTCATACCCGGCACAGATTGGACTCAAATGGTCACGGTTTCTCACTAGAACATCAGGCGTTACATCTTAAAGTTAGTCACTAGTGAGCACATGATTATCATCGACTACTGAGGAGTTCCATACTGGGGTCAAAAACAGTCGTCCAATACTTCCAGGCATTCAAATAGTAGTCTAGTTTAGATCAACTCGTAATTACAATTGTAAAAATACTACACTCTCCATAAATTCCCCATACTGAACAATAGTTATTACTTCTGGACGTTGAAAATGCATCACTTTTTTTTTCTAAAAGACTAGATTTTGGGAATTTCTGTTTGTTGTTTTGTACTTTTGGTTGAGATGAACTACATTAATGAATTAGTTACTATTTATCTTAATTACATTGAATTTGTAACATAAACTTGTTCTCATTTCCGACAACCAATAATGAAATCAATATTTTGTAAGGGATATCAATAAGAGAGATGTAACTATTCTTTACAACAACAACAACAAAAGAAAAACAAAAAAAGAACATAGTAGCCACCGCAACATCTTAAACAAAACAAAAAAAAGATTTTACATAACTTACTCATTATGAGCTTGTATAGCGGTCTTATTAAGTTTATTCACCATGATTAATATTAAAATTAAAAGTCAAAATGACCATTTTATTATTTTTGCGGACATTTGCATTTTTTTTTCAAAGAATGAATACGGACATATCAAGAGGCAACAAACACATTAAGACATATATTATGTAATCAATTAATTCTCATGATTTTTATTAAAATAATCCCCCAATCATTTCCTCTTATGAATATATATTGGGGGCTAGTGACATCTAATCATGATTTCAAAGGATCCTTTATGATCCGATTCTCGAACACAATAAAATTTATAGTTTACATCGCTAGATAACTTTATTTAGAATATTATTAAAACCATGTATTACGGAATAGATGTTTCATTCTAGTTTGGTTCTTCTTAGAAGTACCCATCTATGATTAGACACGGGGGGGGGTTGAACTCACAAAATTCAGGCCTCTTAATGAGTGTTGAACATTCAAACCAATTAACAAGTACCCAATGATTTCAATGTTGCTTAACTGTTTTCTGATGCCGTTAGTATATAACTATCCCACATTTGGCATAGATAAATTCCACTGGTCACAGCATTGCATTTGAACTATTGAAATTACCTCTAAAAACTAGCCACTTATGAGTCACTAAAGTACAAATTATAAAATTTAACAATCTCCACAAACCCCCATAGTTGTAATAGCTCTTACTGACAGAATTCTGTTGCCGCTTAAAGTGTACGTTTCACAGAATGATCGTTGAGCGGGTTTCAGGTTATTATTTTATTTATTCATATTTATTTAAACACATAAATATTAGTACAAGGAGGCACTAAATGGATATGCGCCACATAAATCATTCGATTTGTGTGAGGGCTGGAATACGGCCCAGGTGCCCAAACCAAAGCAGGTGGTTTTTTTAAGGGACCCACACCTGGAGCCTTCGACCTAAAGGTCTGATCCACAAGGCAGTGGGGTAACGTCAAGAGATGCAGTCATATGGTAGCCGGTAACCAACAATAGGTTCATACTCCATTTGTTCCCTCAGGATACTGGAGCTCATGTACACCATTAGTTTGGAATCACGGTCTCCCAACTCCCCTATGTGGATCCCCCGTGTCCATCAACCCAGTTAAAGCACCGGACATTTGCTTTTCGTCCACTCAATTTTTTAAACAACACCCTCACCTCAACAAGGCAGTGAGTAGGACTTCCATGGCAGTGGTTGTATGAACGTGGCCGTGTGAGAGCATTTCGAGAGGGAGAGCTGACTCTTCCCACTCTCGGCCGTATCAGGGCATTTGTGGGCTCCAATTTGTTATACAAAATATTAACCAGAAATTCATAGAACGTAAAATACCAACAGTGATAAAAATGATTGTTTAAGACAGAGCACCTATACAATGATCAGTTTAATTACCATGACCATGATTTTAATAATTCTGAACCTTAATCATTTAAAAGCTTGTAATGTAAATTTCTATTAGATCTTTTAAGATCTTCATTCCTGAATTTAATCACCAACCAACTACTACTCTATTTTAAACCAAGAACATCAATGAAAGCTTCAGTTAACTAATTGTTTTTAGGAAAAAGAATTGAAATTTTATAAGGAAATTTAAAAATTGATATGGATTAAAAACAGGATTCTCGTATATATTTCGACTTTCCACTCGTAAAATTAAAGATTCTTGGAAAAATTTGAATTTGTGCCTCTGTAAACCTTATTTAAGACACATTCGAAAGTTCATTACAAATAACTATATTCATAGCTCTTGTTTAATGGTTACAAATATCTCATGAATGGTACAATCTAATTTACTGGGTTTCTAAATCAACGTATTGTAGTGAACACTAACACCAAAAGTATTTGAATGCAAAATTATAGAAGTTATACATTGAAGTTATACATCAGCACCGTTGGATGCCGTAACAGTTGTCTAGAGGTTAAATGTTCACGTCTCTTATTGACATGTGTGCATACTATGTGTATTGCCTCTGTATTGCCTTAAGTTACAATCATTATAATGAAAGATAGATGGTGGGTTGTAGTGGAATACAAGACGCGCATTCCGCCCTATTTTGGACTCACCATCTGGATGTGCCTTAATTCGAGTTAATGTTGACTCCGGGAATCGAAACCAGTACCGTCAGCTTCTAACGTCATCACATCATCCACTTAGCTACTTGTATACAACACTAGATTAAAATAAATTCTTTTTTGATTAAGATCATGAACCCATTGATGTTAGACTACCGTTGGAAACCTGGGAGCACTAGACGGCCGTTTCGTCCTATTGTGGGACTCCTCAGCAGTGTGCATCCACGATCCCCCTCACGGGATTCGAACCCAGGACCTATCAGCCTCGTGCGCTAACGCTTAACCTACTAGAGCATTGAGCCGGCATTCAAAGGTGTTAATTTCTAACTTCAACTAATCCACGAAATTGAGCGACACACCCACCATTGTCGTCAATGAGTCACTATCTCACAACTGACCCGGTTGAACTCCACTGGTCACTGCTTCACACTAGAACTCCAGGATATACCTCTTGAAGCCAGTCACTAATGAGCATATGTTGATTAGTATCAGAAAGGGTTTTGTGGAGATTGTAGTAATTTCAACAATTGAGGTCATAAGTCAATGGAAGCTAGACCACCATGGAAAACCCAGAAGCTCTGGATAACCGTTTCGTCCTATAGATTATTATAAATATCAAGTTTATTTTCTTATTAAGCTTAATAGTCAACTATTTTCTCTTACACATTCCATTTACTTTAAGTTTACACTTGTCAAGTTACCACTAATAGTCACGTAAAAAATCAAGTTTTTTTTTCTAGTTTGGTATAATAAATGTGTACTATGTAACTGAATGAATTACATTCCTACTCAAACTCGTTCGATTAATTCATATAAAAATAGCATGATCTCATTATCTGATTTATTCTACATTGTTTTTCTTAATTAATAAGGTTAATAGGATCCTATAATTATGGATCTTCTTATATTGACTTTATTTGATTAATCTTCAGGTGGTAGTTACTAACTTTTGCTATTTTATATCTATTAAGATTTCATCGACTTATTTTCTATGTGAAATGAATATTCATTTATTCTATATTAAAACAAAATAGTCTTCCGTTGATTTTGATGGTTTCTATAACCTTATACTGTTTATTTGCACTGATTATTTCACTTCAAATTATAATTCTTTTATGTACTAACCGAATGATATGTTTAAGTAATCTTCATCTTCAGAATGGGTTTCGTGGAGATTTTTAGAAATCCCACAGGTTGAAATCATGAGTCAATTGGAGCCAGACCACCATGGAAAACCTGGAAGCATTATATGGCCGTTTCTTTCTAGTATGGGACTCCTCAGCAGTGCGCATCCACGATCCCGCAGAACTCGAACCCAGGACCTACTGGTTTCGCGCGCGAGCACTTAACCATTAGACCACTGAGCCAGCATCCAACGGTGTTAATGTCTAACTTCAACCAATCTTCATCTATAAACTTATTATGCAACATTAATTTATTGTATTATATATGACATAATTTACTTGTAATTAGCTTAAAAACAGTGTCGATATCATGTAGAAAACTTCAAATTGAGTTTTTTTTGTCCAGGAAATGTACCATTTAATAGTTGTGTAGGGTCAGCGAAATGCCACTAAGCCCTAGCCTAATCATCCAGAAGTCGGGTCACTGGATATCGAACAGATTATCGATCCCCGTCAAGGTCAAGGACGACCAACGCACATCAGTTAATTGTACGCCATGGGTTGACCCATTTGGCAGTGGTCTCAACTTCGCTTGTATATATTTTAACTAATATTTTTCTGTAATAACGCCCTTTGTGTTGTACAGTCTTCAAAGCATCTATAGTACCTTGATACGTCAACGGGGTAATCCATGTAAGGTGCTGACCGTGAGGTGTGACTTCGACGTTAGCTGGTTTGTTACACCATCTCCGTCTAAATCGAGCAGACCTCCAATCATTCGACATAGATCATCTATGTTGGTGATCTACAGTTGAATTCATGAGTCACTTGAAGCTAGATCACCATGGAAAACCAGAAAGCACTGGACAACCGTTTCGTTCTAGTATGGTCGTTCAGTGCTTCTAGGTTTTTCATGGTGGTCTAGTTTCAATTGACTCATGAATCCAACTATTAAATTACGATAATATCCCAAAAAACGCCTCTCTGTATAAAATGTACCATTTCTCATAAATTTCACTGCAATTAGTCAAGAAAAGAATATTTTTAAAATCAATATTTTCAGCTTTTAGTCTGTACTTATTTGATTCTATAAAACTAGCATTCTTAAGTGTTGATTCTCACTGAGACTCAAAATATCATATCGAAACTTATAGATGGGTCTAACCAAGAAATCCATATTTGTTGACACGCATCAGACTACGGATTAATCTCAAGTCACGATCTTTCACCGCAAAAGAAATCAAATATGTAATCGAGAGCTCATGTGATGAATACGTTATAAGATAAAATTATGACATTTTTACTATAACCCAGTTGTTTTGTCAGTATGTTAGATTTGCGTTACTCAATAAATGTATTAAGTTATAGTTATTTATCATTCTAGCTATTAACCACTCCAAAATAAATCTATATATAACTTAATATGCTTAGACCACATTTTGAAACCTAGAGTTTTGATGACGAAATCAATCTTCCTCTCCTATGTCTATATTCTCAGTCACATGTATCAAGCTACATTCCTTCTATCTGTATTTGTATTGCTAGGCAGAAGAGTTGAGTTGTGTCTAGTTACAGGGCATTGATGATAATAAGGCGAGACTATAATTTATGGACGAACCAATCAGATTTGGGATAACAGGTCTTGGATTTTGGCGCGAAATTCATTCTTACATTTGGCTAAATAGAGTTTCGACATCATCGCTGATGTCAGTTCGTGATGAAAACCCTAAATCTAATACTTAACCCTAACCATCAACTGTAAATCATAATTTTAACTGGTTTATAACCCTCATTTGGTCCTAGTCAGTAGGTGTCCATTTTCACGGTCACTTCAGCGTCTCTCAAAGGTCGTCCACAAATTATAGTCACACTAGCAATAACTACAAGCCTTATCTAATAGCAGTACCAGGAGAAATGGGAGACACACTCTATCACATA